CCCTTTTCCTGGAGAAAGAATCCCTCGCGTTCGCTGCCCCTTGGCGCGTGGCTGAAGTGGGGTTCCGCGGTGCGGATGGGTGAGTTCTCTTCTATAAAATGCTGTTCGTTGATCCTTCATGCTCGGTAACCATGTGTATTTTTCGGTTCCAATGCTTGTCCCAGGATCGCATAAGGAAAACCAAGTGTCGCCAAACAGGGTCGTTGGCCCCCGGTTCACAACAACAGCAACAACAATCATTGAAGACTGTTCGCTCTTCTCTGCTCGAGTCTCATCCAACGTGCATTTCCCAAACCCTCGATACCCGACCTCTTCGTCTTCATTTTGGCGGGTATATATTTCTTCCCTGCGGGCTGGGCCCCGGCAAGCGGTGGGGCGGCCGCGGACCGTCGGCCTGGCCAGCGCTGACTGGCGGCAGCCCGACCCCAAGAGGGACGGACAGGGGACCGACCCCGACGACGACGACGACGACGAGCGAAAGCGAAAGCGACAGCGGGGCCACGAAGGGCAGGAAGGGGGGGGAACACATGATCCCCCGCGCCCTGCAAAAACTGGAGGCCTCCCGTTCTAGTAGTAGGAGGAGGGGGAGGAGGAGGAGGAGGAGGAGTAGGAGGAGGAGGAGGAGGAGGAGGGGGAGGAGGGGGAGGAGGGGGAGGAGAAGGAGGAGGAGGACGAGCAGGAGGAGGAGGAGGAAGAAGAGGAAGAAGAAGAAAAAAACGGGGGAACGGGAAATCCCAAGGTGATCTGGTGGGGCAGAGAAGCGTATCCAGAAGGATAGCGTCAAGGGACGGACGGGAGATCGTAGTGGAGATCTGCTGAGGGCTCTGTCCAGTGAGGACCTGGACGAGGGAGACGATTCAGGAGGACCACAGAGAGGGAGGGGGCAAGCTGACATCCTTTTCCTCCATCCCATCCCTTCTCATTGCGCTGCTTGTTGCTGCATCCGCGGACGCGTGTCATAGCCGACCTGGAACTCCACAAAAGATCCCTATCGCGTTTACTGCACAGTAGGAGAAGGGAAGCTTGTGGGACCTGTGCGATCTGGAGGACCTCTGTGACGCATGGAGCCTGTGGGACCTGCGGCACCTGTGGGACCGGTGGCACCTGTGGAAAGGTGGGACCTGTGAGACCTGCGAGACCTGTGAGACTGTGAGACCCGTGGCACCAGCGGGACCTGCGGGACCTGTGGGACTTGGGGCACTTCTGTGGGACCTGTGAGACATGCGACACCTCTGGGACCTATGGGACCTGCGGGACCTCTCGGACCTGTTGGAACCTGTCGGACAGGTGGTACCTGCGGGACGACCTGTGACACTTGTGGGTCCTGTGGGACCTGCGGGACTGCGACCCCTGCAAGACCAGTTGGACCTGCGAGACCTGTGGGATACAGAACACCGGCCCACACTGGGCAGGAGCGCCATGTTGAACAACGGGAGCACAGCGCCGATCCGAAAATGAGGCACACGCTGCAGCAATAGCACCATTTCTGAAACATTAAACAAATCGATGCTACAAACCATATGAACACCGATTCGCGCAAATCCTGTGGCTTATAAAACAGGACGCGGAGAGGGGGCGAACACTCTCAGGATATGTTTGGGGGAAGGAGAAGAGTAGTATTCATAGTGTGTACGTCAATGTAGGGGGGGGTGGAGCGGAGCGAGGGGTTGAAGGGTGGAAAAAGGAAGATGGTGGGTGGCGGGGGAGAACGATGGCGGATCGGGGGGCGGAGCGAGGTAGAGGGATGATCGGACCGAGGGAGGGTGATATGAAGGGGTCGGGAGGGATACGTGCAAAAGAGAAGAGGGGGCGGGGCACGGAAGAAATCCATCAGGATGGGTGGGCGGATGCAGGGGGCGAGCTTCAGGAGGCAGTCCGAAGTCTCCCACCTGAACTGGATGCTGCTGCTCCTCCTCCTCCTCCTCCTGCTCGTCGTCGTCGTCCTCCTCCTCCTCCTCCTCCTCCTCCCTTCCCCTCGTCCTATTCCACCGTCCTCCTCCTCCTCCTCCTCCCCATCCCGCTCCTCAGCCTTGCGGTTTACCCCTTGGACCTCCCTCTGAATTGTGGCCAACGTGTCATTCTCAGGGTGCACAAGCGCTGCGTCTTCGCACGCTATCCCCTTGCCCCACCATTGGTTACTGGGGGGTGGAAAAGGGAGGAACATGGTGATGCTGTTGAGGAAGACGGGGAGTGCACAGCACCAAAACGACGATCAGCCCTCTCCAGCATCGCATAGTTTGTTGAAAGGAAGTTGAACAGGCGGAGAAGGAGACGATGGCAAGTGCGAGGACTGCGTGTATAAAAAGAAAACGAGGGGATCGTCATAGAAGCGGATCGCTCGACTGCGAGCAATGCTACAAACACCAAACTCGGGCCGCCAAGAAGGTCAAACAGACGATGCCCAAATGACGCCCCCAACGCAAATGAGTGCAACACGATGCATGGTAGCCACATCCTACGATTACTCGTCTTAGTAGCAACCGTGCTGGTACTAGTACGGCTGTTAAATATATGGCGCAGTGCCTGTTCGTGGGGCAGGAGGATCACGTGGCTGCGTCCAGGATAAGCACATGAGAAAAGTTCTCAGGGCTCAGCAGGTACTCCAGCATCATGAGCTCCTCCAAATGGGTAAGACTTCCGGGGCCCGCCAGCCCTTCAGGGATTGAGCGGTTTAGAACGTTTCCTCTTCCATCGTCCCTATTCCCCTTCGGGGGGGAATTACTATTGTTCTTTAATTGTATACGCCCCCTATCCCAAGCGACCGGCGTCCATTCCGCCCGCCCCCCACCATCCCTGTCACAAGAACAATTCAAACCGCACTCTGCCTCCACACTTGGAGCATGCGCGGCCAACCCGATGCGGGCCCTCCCGCACAATCCGTCAAAAAACAAATCAAATTACACTTTGGCGCAAAGTCATGAGTCATGTTCGTGAAGCCTGCGAACACTTTGTATTGTTTTTGACAGGGACTGCGGGGGGGCCAGCATATTCACTGCCGCGCGCGGGCTACAATCCCTGAGAAAAATACAACATGCACCTCGCGGCTAAATCTGGATCGTGCGTGGCCATCCCGCGATCACTGTCAAATCATTTTTGACACTGACCGCGGGGGTGGTGGCGCGTGGCCTGTTGTGCGCAGGCCCACCAAACACAACGATGGGCATTGGTGTTCGGCAAGGATGGCGGGGGCCGGCAGATTTCCCGATGTGTGCTGTCACGTGTGCAGGCGCACCTGACGCACTCTGCACGTGCCCTGCACACGGCGCACCTGGCGCGGCTGGTGTGTGCGGCACACTTGGAGCACGCGGCGCATCTGGCGCACCAGGCGTGCCTGCCACGTTCGGGCCCCAGGGGCGCCTGGCGCGCGTGGCGCCCCCTGGCACGCGTGGCGCGCCCCGCCCAAGCGTCGGGCACCTGGAGTCGGCTTTGGCCCCCAGTAGTTGTCTATGCAAAGACGACCGCTGAACATGCCCAGGCTCGGGTGTTACTTATGTGTTGGGAGGGAGGGTGGGAGTGAGTCAGACGGCTTGCGGGCGGGTGGGTAGCTTGATCCCTGTTTCCTATTGATAAACGCCCCCTCCCCCAGGCGACTGGTAGCCAACCAGGAACCATGAGGGCCCCCCCCACCATCCCTTGCAAAAAACCATGCGCCACACACTCTGCCTCCAAATTCGGAGCATGTGCAGCCAACCCGATGCGGCCTCCCCCCACCATCCCTGTCAACAGAACAATGCAGAGTACACTTGGCGGCGGCGGCGGCGGTGGCGGCGGCGGCGGCGACGGCAGCAGCTGCGGCGGCAGCGGCTGCGGCTGCGGCGATTTGGCAGCTGGGGCGGCGGTGGCGGCAGCGGCGGCGGCGGCGGGCGGCGCGACGGCGGCGGCGGCGGCGGCGGCGGCGGTCGCGGCGGCGGCGCAGCGGCGGCGGCGGCGGCGGCGGCGGCTGCGGCGGCGGAGGCGGCGGCGGCGGCGGAGGCGGCGGCGACGGCGGATTGGCCCCCAGTAGCTGCCCATCCAAACACTACTGCTGAATATGCTGAGGCTCGGGCCAGACTCGGATGCTACGTATGTGTTGGGAGGGCAGGTGGGAGTGAGCGAGACAGCTTGCGGGCGGGGAGGGAGTCTTGACCCCTCCCCCTAACCCCCTCCCCGCGGGTCTGGAAAGGGGGGGGGGCGCGAGGGGTTAGAGCGTCCAGGATGGCCTCGACGAGAAGGCCAACAGCATTGATTGTATCAAGGTTGTAGCACGATTCTGGCCTCCTGCAGGGGGGTGCTACTTGGAACCTCCCCCTTCCTTGATCGATCACCTCAAAGATGGCCACAAGATGGCATCCGAGGTTCCCAAGAGTGTCCCAAGAGGGCTCAAGATGCGCCCAGCAAGATGCCCCCCAAGAGGTTCCCAAGAGACCCCCTAAGAGGCGCCAAGGGGCTTCCCAAGACGCCCAGGACGCCCCAAGAGGCCTCGGCGAGAAGACCAGCATCACTGATGTTACTAACATTTTGGCCAGATGCTGGCCTCCTGGGGGTGAACTCTAATTAAGGAACCCCCTCCTTTGATCGATCTCTTCCAAGATGGCCTTAAGATGGCCTCCGATTCTCCCAAGGGTGCCCCAAGACGGCCCCAAGAGGTGCCCAGGAGGCCCCCAAATGCCCCCAAGAGGCCTCCAAGATGCCCCCGAGATGCTCCCAAGAGACACCCAAGGGGCCCCCCAGAGGCACCCAAGACGCCCAAGAGGCCTCGGCGAGAAGATCCAACTCATTGATCTTGCTAAGGTTTTGGCCGTTTGCAAGCGTCCTGGGGGGGGGACCTTGATGTGCTGCAACTCCTTCTTTGATCGAAATCCTCCAAGATAGCCCCCGAAGCTGCTAAAGGTGCCCCGGCCCCAACACGGCCTCCAAGAGGTCCCCAAACGGCCCCCAAAGGGCCTCCGAACTGCCTCCAAGAGGCCCCCGAGAGGCCTCCCACGCGATCCCAACAAACATTCAATAGGCTTCATACCCACAACCCAGGCACGGGGGATGATGAACAATATGAGCAATGGCAATGCTCCTGACATCACCGGGGAGACGGGCTTCGCTGCTGCATGGTTCGATGGCTCATGCATGTGGCTGGAATCGTCGGGGGCCCTACATGTGGTCGAAGTGCACCAAGCTTCCAGTTCGTACCCGTCGCAAATGCATCGACTGTGCGATCTTGCACCACCCAATTCTTCGGGCCCCTTCTCTGAAAGATATGAACCCCACCCTTCTCGACCATCCCGCCCCCGCGACCCCCCCCCCTCTCTCACTCGAACCTCTTCTCTTCCGTCTCCTCATCCTTCCATCTGCCCTTCATCCCTGCCGAGATGGCGCGGAAGGAGAGGCGGCAGCGATGAAGACGAGGAGGCCGACGAGGAGGATGAGGAACCATCCCCTCACTCCACACACTCGCACGCTGGAGTGCAAGAAAAGAGAGATTGGGGGAACGAGGAGGACGAGGAAGATGAGGAACAACAAACCGAAAATCTGACCCGACAAGAACGGCAAGCGTAGTTTTTGCTCCTTTGGGTTCGTGAGGAAGTATCTGCCGTGTTGGTCAGTCGTGCTTGTCGTTCGTGGTTTGCGTGCGCTTGCGCGTGCGTAGTGTTCATGCGAGTGCGTGCGCGCGAGTGTGTGTGTGGGGGTATAAAGGGGCTCGACTTGCTCCGCCTCGTCGCTGCGCGCGGGGCCGCGATCGCCAAATGTGTGCGTGTGTGCTTGTGTGTATTTTGTGCGCGGTGAATGTGTGTGCGTGTCTGATCGTGTGCGTGTGAATCTTGTGTTGATGTGCGTGTCGTCTGTTGAGCGGTGTGTGATGTGATGTTGTTTCGATCTGCCCTCCTTGCTTCTGCCTCCTGCTCTTGCCTGGCACGTCGCAACAATATGGGGCCAAACTGCTTCCGCCCACCCACCCAGGGAGCGAGGTATCACCAGCGCTGGTGCCGTTTGCATCGCACTGCCTGGCGGGTGCGATGAGGAGCGGGCTAATGTCAGTTCGTGACGGCGAAGCAAGGCTAGTCCAGCTCCCCCCCGCTTGGGTCTATACTCCTTGCATCCCCATGCTGCTCTTGCCTGGCATGCCGCGACAATCTGGGGTTACAAGGGGGCAGCTTGTACGGATTCCAGCTTGTTGCGGCATCCCAGGCGAGAGCAGGATAGGGATGCCAGTAATGCACATCGAAGCGGGGGGGGGGCACGCGGGGCCGACTTTGCTTCGCCTTCGCGAAGCAGCGTTTGTGTGATATGTGCGATGCGTACGCTACTTGAGCGATGCAGCGCGATGTGTGTTGCCTGCTGTATGCTCTGCGTTGCATGAGTGTTCGTCTGTGTGTGTGCTTGTTGTGACTCATAGAGCGTGTATGTTCTGTGTTTGTCGCGTGTTGCGTGGCAGAGCCGGGTCGAGGACTGTCTTGAATACCGCCTGGGCCGCCTTGAGAACCCCTGGGAATGTTCCTGGGAGCTCGCAGGCTATCTTTGACCGTGCGGGGCAATCTTTCGGGATCCTCTCGGGAGCATGGTGAGCCGCTGTGGGGCCCTCCGAGAGCGACTTCAAAATGATGCTGGTTCGGAAGACCCCCTCCGAAGTTAATGTGTGGAGGATGTCCCCCCGCTGACAGACGATCATCAGCTTCGCCCTCCGATTGTCCTTCTCCCAGTTGAAGGTCCTCTCGGGCGCCCCCCCCCCTCGCGCGACTATCCCCTTCTGAGGTCCCCGCCCCGCTTCCTTCGCGATGCAGGCATGTGTCGGAGGGGCCTGCCCCCGCTGATATCTTGGGTCCGCGCTGGACCCCCCTCCATGGCGCGCGGAGCGCGCCAAGGGCGGCTTCGGAGGCGCCGCGGGGGGAGCCGACGCCGATCCAAGAAATCCGAGTGAACCTTCGAAGGTGTATGTTCATGCAGTTCTGTATCCCTCGGGTTTGGGCGTTCCCCGATCCTCCCCTCGTTCTCGTGCAAGCACTGCAGGTGCTCGGCGGCCGCTTTGGGGCACTTCTTCACTACCCGCGGCACCTCGCGCAGAGTCGGCTTCCACCGGATGACCATCGCGTGCCCGTGCCGCCTAATCCGCGCCTCAGCGGCACACGAACGCATCACTCGGTCAAAGTCACACATGTCGTGCGTTGCTGGCTTCCTCACAAGAGAATGTTGCGATGCTCGGTGTCGTGATCACCTACCAGCTCCTAGCATCTCGAACACGCTCACAGCTACCGCAAGACTCGCGATGAACACGCTACTTGACATCGTGGACATCAGAACACACATCTACGTACAGTCGTTCGGCTTTGCGTGGGCATGTCCACACATCATCTTGAACCCACGTTTGGGGACGAGTCCACATGCGGCAGAAACGGTTCCGAAAACGCCGAATGCAAAGTCAGCGCGTGCAGGGGACTTCCACGCAGTGGGCACCACAGGCATGCGCCTTCGCCAGAGGCGAGGGGAGTGGATGGGAAAGGGCACATGAAGAGGAGGGGCGGGGATGATGCACGGGGGGCGGAACGTGGAGGGGATGCGGGGAAGCATGGGTGTGTGGGGGGGGCGCTGAGGAGAGGGGGGAGGGGGAAGAGGGGAGCGGGGGAGAGGAGAGCCCGAGAAGCAGTGGAGACGGGGACGGAGGCGAAGGGAAAAGGAAAGGGAAATTAGGACACACAAATAAATACACACAAATAAAAATAGTCCCCATATTGTCACATATTTTCTGGGTTTTTGTCTTCCCCCCCAATTCCCATATTTTCCGATATTTTCCTGGGAATCGAGGATTAATTGTGTCTGTGTGTTTTTTCCCTCCTGAAAAAGGAAAGGACGATGGCTGGGGTTTGGGGGCGTGATGGATGGCGCGGCCGGCAGCACCGTGCGCGCGGGGGAGGAGGCGGGAGGCCGAGCTGCCGAGGCCGGCGCCCTCGAGGCAGCCAGACAAGCGCGCAGCCACCTTGGGCGGGTCACCTGACTAGCTGAGGAGGAGGAGGAGGAGGAGGAGGAGGAGGAGGAGGAGGAGGAGGAGGAGGAGGAGACCAGAACACCCCAACCCAACCCGAAGACCCGCATTTCGCCTGAACTTCGGGTTAAGGGGGGGGCCGGGCTTCGTATGTGTTTTCTCAATGTTCCCCGACCCCCCCTGCACTGGAAGTGGACGGCAAGTCGGGGCCTTCAGGTTGGGTTGGAGTGGTTTGGTGGGCGGTGATCGCCTTGTCCCCCCAGCTCCGCGCCCTGTGGTCGAGAAACACGGGGACGCCCACGAGGATCCCACCGCCTGGGAGAGAGCGCGAAAACAGCCCAGTAGCGCGCTTGGCTGCATTCCCTGGGGGCAGCGTTTCCCCTGGGGGTGGGAGGGAAACGAGAGGGCGATGGCGAGCCACCCTAATGAAGGGGATGAGGCGGGGCTTGTAGCGGCGGCTCCTGCGCGAATTCGGATGCGCGTCGTCGGCGGCGACGACGACCACTGCCACGACACGACGATCCACGACGAACGACGTAGTCCAGACGCATCTGGAGGCCCTCGAAGTTCTCTCTGGAGGCCCCTGGAGCCTGGTGGCAGTCCCTCCGGAGCCCTTCGGAGGTCCTGAACAGTGCCAAAACACAACCCAAATATGCAATGCAGTGCGGCATCAGAAAAACCTGCGAGCGACACAACGTGCCTGTGAGAACCGCAACAACTGCTCACCTCTCAGCAGGCTTGTGTCACCAGTGCGCCAAGGCTTGGGGAGGGGCAAGCGGAGTGGCCATCAGGCCTTTGCGAATATAAGCTCCAGTCATGCAACAAAATTCCTTGGCTCGGACACAAAAAAAATGATGCAACGACCTTGGGACGTCCACGTCGGAAAGATTGCTGCCGCAGCAGACCCACCGACTCCGAGATCTTAGGTTCTCACCGCGGCCGAGACGCCAGAGCAGCCTTCAGCTTTGGAGTGCCCCGCAACCGCAATATGCCTGCGAATGCCACAACACGCCCGCACGCGCCACCACAGTGCCTGCGGGCAGCGTGGTGGCGTGCGAGCACCACGGCATGCAGAGTGCCCGGCCACCGCAGCAGCCTGTGCACGCCACCACAACGCCTGAGGGCGTGAGAAGGGCGGGGGGCGCCCCCCGCGAGACCGTCACCGTTGCGAGGGGGGGTGAGAGGCTGCAGGGGGGAGATGACGGACGCCAGTCCCGAGGGAACAAAACAATGCTCCAGCCAACACCTCCACCGCCTGCCTGGCCAGGCTCGCCCTTGGCCAAAGCCTGCCTCCTGACTACCAGCGAGCAGCCGGCGGTCTGGTGCACGCGGTGAAGAAACGTGGGCTACAAAGGCATACCCATCTGCCAGAAGTGGGTATAAACATGAAGCAAGATGGCGTTGAAAGTAGATTGGGTTTCCCCCCGCCCTCCATTGAGAAAAATAAAAGGACAACCGCTCGATGATGGAAAAAGGAAACGCCTGAGAGAGATTGGAATCTGGGATCAAGAAATATCTATCTTCAACGACCGATCCGTGTGTGCACCAAAATCCGGGCACAAGGATTTACTCGGCCAAGGTTGGCGTCGGTGCATTAGTCTGCGCCCCGGGCGCACCTCTGCCCTCCAAGCTCTCGGCGCGAGCATCCGCCACCAGCTTGTCCTCAGTGCTGTCATCATCGCCATCGTGTGGCAATGCTCACAAGACAAGCGCGCCCCTTTGCAACCCACCAGCCCACCGCCAAAGAACGAACGCAGATCCGCAACCGTGATACAAAACAAAATGCCAAAAACAATGGGTTGACCGTCTTCATGTCCCGTCGAATTCCCTGTGCTGGGTGAATGCTGTGCGTCGGGGCCCAGGGCCCAGAGTCACGGGCGCTCCCAGGCGCTCACGGCCCCCAAACCACCAAGGGGGTTTAAGAGGCCCCCAAGACGGTCCCAAGAGGGGGAGCACAAACTGACATTTGCAGCCCTGACCCCCAACACCCCCATAGATAAAACTGCCACCGAAGTTCCCACAACCTTCGGCAACATACAGCCAACTCAAACTCCCTCCTCCCGACGGGAACTCGCCAATATCTCACCCAAACATGAATGTTCCCCTTCCGCACCCCTCACATCGAATCTAAGATCACATCCTCCTCCTCCTCCTCCTCCTCCTCATCATCATCATCATCATCAGCATCATCATCATCATCATCATCGTCATCGTCATCGTCATCGTCATCATCATCATCACCATCAGCATCATCATCCTCATCACCATCAAAATCAGCATCATCAGCATCGTCAGCACCACCATCATCGCCACTATCACCGTCACCATCATCACCATCATCACCATCATCGATATTACCATCGTCCCCATCATCACAAACGCAACCACCTTGATCATCACCACCACCATCATCATCATCATCAACATCATGATCACCTTATTTGTTTTTGTGCCCGACTCTGTCCGCACGTTGAAGGACGACTCCAGTCAGTCTCGTGATGGTCGTGCGAAGAAGTATTATTTGCAGAAAACGATGCCTCACAAACAAAATTCGGGGTAGCGGGTGCATGAAGTGTGAGATGAGTAATATCAAACAACAAGGGAGGGGACAAGCGCGTCTGTCGGGTAGGGAAGAAACAAGGGGGCGACAGAGGAGGAGAGCAGACATTCACGTCTCTGATCAATCCCATATAAACAGACCTATCATCACCAACTTCTCTGTTTTTGTACCCGTCTCTGTTATCACGGTGAAGCGCACCTCCAATATGTCGCGTGATGGCCGTGCGAGGCACTTTACAATAACGGAAATAATGCTCCAACATACGCAAAAGTAGCGGAGTGGTACAGGGTGGTGAGGGTGGAAAGAAGAATAATAATAACATGCTCACGTAAACCAGCGCGTCGACCTCATGAGCGAACACAATCTGGTATGAGACTGAACGTCCCCTGTCGTTTCTCATACTCCTTCTGGAAAGCGGTGTCCACGAACAAGGTGACTAGCTTCGTGGCCAGGGCGCGCGGGTAGGCCGCCGCTCGTCTGGTCCACTTGACACCTGACGGGTCGGCGCCTGGAAATATGATGCGAGGCGGCTTACTGAACTGGTACGGCGCCACTGGACGAGAACCGCGCGTTTGTGCAGTCGACGAAATGTTTGGTATTCCCAAAAACATAACAGCGGTTGCCTTTTCTCCACCTGGCGCCGTAGCCACACGCACGCATGGTGTTCAAAGAGGCCCCCGGCTTTGCGAGGAGAGCGTTGCCCTCGGGAAAATGCCGGGGCAATCTCCATTGCAGATTGTCGACTACGAAAAAGAAACCAGACTGCAGCGCCAACTTACATAACAGGTACGTCCGACGGATCAGGATGTTAGCCTCGCTGAATTGATCCTGGTCTGGGCGACTGCAGTTGGGCAAGCCATAGACGTGTTCGCGTGGCCGAGTGGCGGGGCGCCTTGCAAAGCTACGCGTCGCGCGCTGTGGTGCGAGGAGAAGGCCGAAACATATCGCGCTCTGGATCAGATTACGAATGCGTTGCTGCACTGCTTTCCTCGACGCACCTCCTTCCTCTCCCTGGATGTCAAAACTCAATCACATGCAATCTCGTCTATGGGCAGCGTTTGACAGTTCTCCTCGAGCACTGAAAATCTCGATCTCAAATCTACTCAGCTTCTGGCGGGCGGTCCGTCGCCTCGGAGCTGGCCGACGAGACGCGCCAACTCGACCTCGATGCTCTCCTTGCTGGCCAGGCAGAAGCTACGGGCGCCCTTTCTCAGGCCGTTGAACACGTCTTGGATGCGCGCCCTCTTCTCGCATCTCCGCACGCTGGCCGTCGACCGCCACCCCCGCGTTTATGCGCCTCCAGCAAGCTCGCGCTGTTCTCCAGGCGGTCGAGGGAGGCGCCGGTGCGTCAGCCCATGTAAAGCACCAGCGCCCAGCGCTGCAGTTCGAGCTCGCGGCGCGCATCCAAGGGCTTCTCTCGCGCCCGCGCGAGGTCGAACTTCCGCGGGTGGCCCGACTTGGGTCGGAGCACCGCGCCCTCGATGACTTCGCGAGCCGCTGCTGGTTCGCCGGCGAACTCTCGTCCGCAGTGCCCGTCTTGCCGGGCACGCCGTCCTCCGCTGGGCGCAGGATGATGGCCGGGTCGACCATGTGCCGCTGGGAGGTCGGCTCGAGAAACTGGCTAGGTCGGAGGGCGAGGAGCTCGCCATGCCGGAGGTGCGCATCCATCATCAGCAGCCAGCGCGGCGCGCGCTCGACGCGGTGCTTGCGCATCTGGGCGGTCGCGATCCCAGCCGCCGCGCACCGCGGGAGCGGCCGTCGCGCGCGGCTCGGCACATGCCCGCGCCACCCGTGGAGGCCCCTCACGGCGCGAGGCAAGACGGCCTCCGCCCGACAGCCGTAGGCGGGGGCGAAATACTGCGCCGCCGCCAGCAGCTTCGCGCAAGCCCCCGCAGCCTTCCCCTCGGGGAACATCCTGTCCATGTGCTGCGCCATCCTGGCGTCCAGCACGGGCGGGGGCTCCGCGAGGGTGGTCATGTTCTGGGCCCGCATGAACTTCTGGATGTAGTCTGCATATTGGGACCGGGTCTAGGCATCAGTGGCGCGTGCTCCAGGCAGGGCGCTGCGCTGACTGTCCGTGTCTCGGAGATCTCCGTGCATCCTCAACCGATCGGCGGCCTTCGCAATCTCTGGGCTCTCTAGTCGTCGGTCGTCATGGTCGCCGCCGGCCCCAGACGCTCCAGGATGGGGTGGCCCTTTTCTGGGCCCCTGCGCCTGCGCCAGGTGGCCCGGGGTCATCTTCAGCCTCTTCAGCGGCTCCGCCGGAGGGCTCTGCCTGGGTCGACCATCGCGCCTGGCCCGAGGAGGTGCAGGTGCGCGAGGTTGGCCGCGGACGGCTGCCTGTCCCCCGCGACGAAAATGAGTCCTCGTCGCCGGGCTGGCCCGAGGAGGTCCCTGTCGAAGATGTCTGGGGTGCCGATGGGGTGACGGCGATCGCCCGGCGCTGCGGCGGCGCATCGCTTCGCGCCGCCGGGGCGGCTCATCCGATGGGTTGACTTCCCGCGCTTGGATGGCCGCGGCGGTTGCTAAGTACTTAACATACTTACTACGCTAAGTGAAGTACTTAGTAAGTAGTTCGCGGACTTAGCTAAGTACTTACTCAGTCATTACTAAGTGGCCCACTTAGTAATGACTTAGTAAGTACTTAGCTATCCACTTATAACCAGTTAGCTAAGTGCTTAGCGCACTTAGCTAACCACTTATAACCACTTATAGCTAGTTTGCTAAGTAGGTTATAAGTGACTTAGCGGTTACATTGCACTTGTTATCCAAGGGCCATGCACAGGGAAAAAAGGTAAATCCACGTCTTGAAAGAGCTGAGTTTGTTCGTTGAGCGCTGCAGCGCTACAAATTTTGCATTTTGATTTGGAGTCGGTGTCCTGGATTTTTGCTTTAAATATGAGAGGCGCTGCAGCGCTGCCTTCGGATTTATATGAACATGAAGCGCTGCGTGCGCTGAAGATGAAGCGCTGCAGCGCTGAATGTTGAGTGAAATGCATGTTTTCTAGTTGCACGTTGTTCGGATCTTCATTTTCGCCCAGCTCCGTTTGCAAGGAATTTGAATGCACATGTCAATTATGTTTTGTTGTATTCGTTGTTTTTCAATGGTCGCATTGAGCGCTGCAGCGCTCCAAATTCGATAGCACGTATGTTACTTTGCGCTGCGGCGCCAAAAAATGGTTGTCGTCGTGATGTCGCATCGCGCTGCAGCGCGTGCGCGCTCGTGCTTCATGGGCCTCGGGCTGCAGCCCAGATCAACGTTTTTGCTCGCAAGTTGCATGTCCATGCAAGTCGATGTTCACGCGCACGCCGCGCGACAGCTTGTCTCAAGCTGCGGCCGCGCGCCGCATCCGCCGTCGCGCCCGCGGGCTCGCACGTTGCATTCGGTGTATATATAGCGCTGGCATGGCGCTGCAGGCGCGTCAGGAGGAGCAGATCTTGCAGTACATCGAGGAAAGCAATTCCTCGGGGAGTTTGGCATCGGGGTGGGATCAACTGAAGGAGTTCCTGCTGGCGGAGGGGCTAGCGTATTACCAGCAGGTCCCACCGAACCAGATGGGCATCGACATTCGGAACCGCAGCGGTTCGTTAGTGAACCCTGCGCGGGCTCACAATTTAGGCGCGCAGATTTGCGCCCAGGGCTTCGTCTTGGCCAAGACGGCTGCAGCCACTGCCTTCGAGGCCCCGCAGGGGGCGCAGTTGGAAGAGACCGCGATGGCGAACGACCGCCTTTCGCGGCTCAGCGGGGGTCGGTGCCCCCCGCTGGACTCATTGCGGTATACGTCAGTGGGCGGCTCCCACACGAACGTCTTCCTCCGCTGCGTGCTGGCCAAGGCGCCGACCACAATGAAGGCGCTGGCAGACTCGGGACAACATCGACTCCGAAAAGCTGTGCGCGTTGCATCCGCAACTTGCGACGGCAGTCAAAAAGGGCCTGACGTGGTTGATCATCAAGCACGCGGTGGCCAAAATGAAGGGCCTCAAGAACTTCGTGCAGGGGGCTTTGAACGCCGACGTCAGGGAGGCGGTTCACGAGACCGAGATCATTCGATCAGGCTGCAGCCTATCCCCACTATAGTATATAGCGGTATGTAGTAAGGACCAGGATGATGCACGAGGAGGGTGGTGAGTGGGAGTGCGTTGGGGAGGAGGTGAGAACGAGGAGCAGGAGCATTATATCTTACCGTGCTGCAGCACTTGATCGGCTCGGCGCTTGCTGCAGGCAGGTGGGCGGATGCTCTTGGCACACAGCCTCGCTGAGGGTTCCAGCAAGCCCGATTGGCGCGACATCGCCGAGCAAGCGGGCCACGCGAACCCACCTTGCAAGGCGTGGATCGCTGACTTGTGCAAGTTTGTTGATCTCGGGCCACAAAACGGAGAACTTCTCCGTGAAATAGATGAAGCCCTCAAGACCTTCACGAATGTGGACGTCTCGGGGCAAACTTTGATGTGCGGCTCTGAATTTTGGCGCAAGTTGAATTCGATTAAATGGGGGGAGCACCAGGAGTCGCACCCGTATGTCGTAGCGGCGCTCGTGAAGGCCAACTATTCAGGCGAGCACGTGGTGGATAGCATGTGCAGGACCATCCATAAGCTTGTCGGCACCCCCTTGTAGTGACATGCGCTGCAGCGCATCTATGCATTGCGCTGCGTTGTTAGAACTGCGTACCCCCCCCCCTCCCCACACACACACACACCGTTACATTGCTTTATTCCCAAACGCAATCGCTGAAATATAGATAAACAACTAGAAAGAAAACAAACAAAAAAATAAAGAAAAGAATAACAAGATAAAAAAAAAAACGAAATTAAAAAAAAAAAAAAAACTAAAAGAAAATCAAATAAATACAAAGAAAAACAGATAAAAGACCATCCAGAAGAACTTATACAAAATAAAAAATAACAAAAAAAAAAAATTCAAAACAAATATAAGGGGGGGTAGAAAAGAAAGAACAAAAAAAAAAAAAAAATACGCGAGATGTGAAAACAAAAAAAAAAGGTTACAATAGGAATAGTAAACAAAAAAAAGAAGAAAAGAAAAATAGAATTAACAGAAGCGATGGGCGGATCAGAGCAAACGAGATCGTCCACGTCGCGTCCCGCAAGGCGGACGTGGCTGCGGCCGACAACCTCATGGCCGACGCAAGGTCGCTCGTGAAGAGGTTGGATATCGGAGCGGAGCAGGGCTTCTTGCACATCACAAAGTTGGATGTCCGCTGTGCCATGTACCTGGTGAAGAAGCGAGCGCCAGGAGACCGCACTTTCGGATGCGTAGCAGATATAGCACAGGTATCTTATCATGCCACCTTTCGTGTGCTCCTTGTTTCCCTCCCTCCCTGCTTTTCGCCATTCAATGTCGCTGCAGCGACCCTCCAGAGAGGTCTTCCTCCATGAGCTCGGGGAGCCAGCCCAGCTGCAGAGGAAGAGCTTGGGGATCGAGTTCGGCAAGGCGGCGCAGACCGACAAGCAAGGCGATGGCGCACCCGAGTTCCCAGCGAGCGCCGATGCAGACGCGCCGCGCGCGGCAGCGTCGTCGGCCGCTGAGTTGAAGAGCAACGTCTTCCGCATGCGGCGCGCAGGGTTCGACGTGGGGGAGCACATCGTCCAGAAGAAGGAGGTGGATGACGTCTTCGAGGTGCTCTCCATCTCGGAGAATGGGATCACCGCTCAGAAGAAGTTGCACGGCGACCTGGTGGGCGAAGAGATCTCCATTGCGCGGCTGCAGCCACCCCGCCGCCCGTGGGGGGCAGGGAGGGGGGAGGAGGAGGTAGTAACTGCGATATTGTATTTCCTGTACTTAAGTTGCAATGGGTTGGTCGATGCGCTGCAGCGCACGGAGCAGTTATCCGAGCGGGCGGATTGAAGTAAACATATTGCTCGAGAATTACAAGTTGACGTCCAGGGTGCAAGAGCAGTTGTCGTTCACGAAGGAGCACTTGCCGCCAGCCCACGAGGGTTGGGCGATGGGCGCGTTCAAGGGGGCATGCAACATGGCGCTGCGGCTCCAAGCGCTGAAGTACCAGGCGAACATTTTGCACTTGGAGATCCTGCAGGACCCACCTGCCGTGCGCTGCAAGCGAGCGTTCAAAGTGGGCGAGCTCGTCAGACTTGTGCTTCCGCAGTCGTCCGCGCCCCCCTCCGACGACGCCGCGCTGCAGCGCTGCGCTGAGCACGAGGTAGCGAGGATTTCGGGGCACGTCAGGCCGTAGCGACGAGGTCAGTGATGTTGCCGACTGCGCGCCATGTAGCTCCACGCGGTGGGAGTGGTCGCATTTCGGCCTCGTCCACGCGGGTCAGCACGGGCTGCGTTGCGGAGAGCATCTCGTTGGGGAAGGTTGGCCTCTACGAGTTCTTCGTGGGCCCGCAGTTCGCAGGGCCCCCCGCTGAGGGGTCGCGGGGCCCCGACGCCTTTGTCAGCCCCTTCGGGGTGGTGGCAAAGTCCGACTCAGAGCCCAACATGGAGCTCCGAAAGGAGACCGTGACGTTCGGGACAGGCGTCAACAAGGTGCAGGTGGGGGTGCCCCAGATGCATAACACTTGCGCCCTGTCCGCGGGCGACTTCCTGGTGGTGAAGCCGTGGCCGCGGCTGCAGCCGCGGCCAGCCAAGAAGCTCAGGACGGCCTGAGCTGGCGATATAGACGGACCGCGCGGGAGGACGAGGCAGGAGGGAGGGGTGATGCGGAGGAGGAGGAGGAGGAGGCAGGGTAAGGGGAGGAGGATGAGGGGGCTTAAGGAGCGGCGAGCGCACATGACGGCACCGAGCGTGGCCCTCCGATTGGTGTAAACAGTGTGCGGGTTGGTGCGAAGTGCGATACTAGCCGCGGCGCTGCAGCGCGCGGAACGATTCGTTGCGCCAGCATCGTCGCTGCAGCGACTGTACAATATTGGTGCTGACATCAGCCTTTCCCACAGACATGCCGATGCAGCGGCTTCGTCATCACTGTTGTGCTCGATGTGATCGTTGCTCTTCGCTTCATCTTTCACATGCGCTG